TGTTTTTATTAACTTTAATTTTGCAGAAGTTTGTTCTGACCATTGCCTCCTTTATTTTATTGGTTTCTGATGGAAGCATGGCCTAGCCCAGTTTTGCATGATGGGAATTCTGAGGAAAGCTGCAGACAAGTGCTCTTGGGTGGGCTGCACCCTTGGGAGCTTTGGCGTCATCGTCATTGGGGAGCTTGTTATTGCAAATTCTCGGTCCCCCACCAGACCTCCTCAGTCAGGCTCTCTGGGGTGGTGCCCAGCATTTCGTGTCTTATCTAGGTATCCACACACTTTTGGCAAGTGTTGCCTAAGGCATTTACAGTACACATCAGCCTGATACAAGCTCTGAGATGTCCTGTAGCACAGAAACCTCTTTCACCCGTGCCCACCAGGCTGACTGAACCATCGATGCCCTTTGAACAATGATGATTCAGCCACATATAGAACTTTGCTCTATGTGGAAATTGATAGATGATCTGAATTTTTAAAATACTGACTAATGAAAATCCATTCATTTCCATTTGTAAGCCATCCTTGTTCGCGTGGTTCATGGTTCCCCCTGCCCATTTCCTTTGTACTTGTGTTGTTTTACTCACATTTGTGAATTTTCTCCCATTCTCCCACTAATCATTCACTCTGCAAACAAAACAGGCCATCCTTTCAGGATGACAGGTCGCATTGGAAAGCTTCGGCCAGTGGAGATGACAGCCCTTTTGATTATGTGCACGACCAGAACCAGAAGAACTTAGGAGGGATGCAGAGTCTGATGTGTCGAGATAAACTCATGACTGCACTTTGACAGACTGAAGCATCTCACTTCCATTCACCATCATGGTTTCATTGCATTCCATAAAAAGTGTCTTGGCATCACGTGTTTGTATAAGTGTCTTTAAGCAGTAGTTCTGAAAGGTGTTTTCAGTGTCCTGTTATGATAAAAACCATGATAGCTAGTCACAACTTATTGTTGGCTACATTCTCAATAAAATGAAGGTAGTTAAAGGCTCAGGAATCATTTTGATATTCTGATTTTAAAATTGGAGTAAAAGTCTATGTTTATCATATTGCTGTGTACCTGATATTCTTTGTTATTTAATTAATGGGACCAAATAAAGCCAGAAAAGCCTGGCCAGATAGCTTGGCACATACACATGGTACTGTTATAGGGATCAAGGTTGCGAGGGTCTAGCCTCCCACATTTTGTGACCTTGGACAGGTCACTTCCCCTTTTTTCTCATTTTCCCCCATCTAAAAAGTGTGGGTTGGTCCAAGTGATCTCCAATGTCCTTTCTGACTGTAAAATTCTGTGATGTATTAAAACTTAATTTTTTTTCTAGCCTAAGGACATACATTCAAACTAAATTCCTCATAAGGAAAATTATAGTACCCACTTCTTTGATAGAGAGTTACTTCTTTCAGAAGCCAAATAAAGTATATAACTTATTAGATGTTATATAAATACAGGGAGACTTTGAAGTTTTTATCTTAAAGGCAGTTTAGCCACTTTGAATTTTAGCAGTTATACTAATCATAAGTTGCATAGCATGCATTCTGATAGAATTTGCTGCTCAAGTATAATTTTTAATGTTTTAATGATTGGTGCTGCTAACTTGCTTGATTTCAGAAGACATAATTGTGAATACATGCTGTCAGAATGGGGAGGGGGTTGGTTTTTACCCTAGACTTCACTCTTAAAAAACAACATGCACTTGAGAAGCATTTGTGGCTCGAATGAAAGCATATAAGGTTTTGTTTTTGTGCCAAAGTATTCTGTAGACTAGAATAGAAAGGGCATTGCCCCAATTGTTTTGTAGAAATCAACATGTTGTCTTTTAGGATAAAGCTTGTACCAAAGTATTTATTTGCCCCTTTTCAAGCCCCAAGTCAAAACATTTTTCTTCTCTTATAGATAGGCCTAAGATATTTTTTCATTAGCATTTTTGTGAAATCAATTCTTCTATCATTTTTATATATGTTATTGTAATATTCCCCATCTTAATCCCTTTAAAGAAAATGTATTGACATCCTTTGAGATATTTTATTGGTCTTTGTTAACAAAAATCTATTCAGAAGGAAGGTATCAGCGCGTACCTTGCACAGTGGAGTCAGCCACCTATAAACTCTCCCTAAGATATTTGTTTACAGGTGTATTCCATTTTAGCAAATGTTTTGATCCTCAGTGTATGTGCCTCATACAAATAAATGTGTTCTGAATCTTTTCATCTTATTGATAACAGTTTTACAAATGCATTTCCAAGGAATAAAGATTATACTTGCTTTTTTTTTTTTTGGACTCCATCTTCATTTTATGATTCTTGCTGCTGAGCAGAAGTCTCCTTTGTGAATGACCTCAGTCACAGAAGAGTTGACTTTTGCAAGTTGAAGGTGAGCATTCACGTGGTGTGGAGCAAGATCATCCTTGAATGAGTCTGCTCTTGGCAAGACTGGGTCTTTTTGTAGGCACAGCAGCTGAGGCATTTCTTCATCTGGGGCAACTCTGGAGAAGGTCGTAGTACCTGGTCCCAGGTGCTCAGCAGAGTAAAGTGGTGGCAGTGGGGCTTTCCCAGTAACAGTCCTATGGTGAAGGTGGTGGGTGTTCATCCTGGTTACTTTTGCTCTTCCTGACTAGCCAACCATGTCTTTGGCCTTCTGGGCATTATGTATGCCATCTAATACCCTCTAATAAATACCTTTCTGTTTAAAATAACTTAAGTGAATTCAGTTGTCTGCAGTCAAGGATAAAACACTGCATGCTTCTGACATCCTAACTGTTAAATGAAATATTCACTTTTCATTCCTTAACTTAGTGAATCTTTCTCTGCTGCATTTGGCAGCTTTGGTCTTCTTAACAGCCTCCTCTTCTGTCACCCTATTGAATATTGGTGTTTTCTAAGAGTCTCTCCTCTACCCACTGCTTTTCTCACTTACCGTTCTGTCATGATGTTATAATATTATTGACTCTGAAACCATTATCTTTAACTCAGACTACTGTGTTTTTAGATTGACATTTTAACTTTGATATCCTGTTTACACCTCAAACTCTACGTATCAGAAATCAAATTTATCATATTCTCCCCCTACAACCCCATACCATAAAAATAACTTGTCTTCTGCCTGAATTCTCTCTTTTTTACCCATAGTAGGAATGTACACGTCATCCACAACTCTCCTCCCTTTTACCACCCACATCCAGGCAGTGTCCTGGTCTGTTCCACCTCGCCCCCTTATTGTACTTAGCCTTTCTTCTCTCTCCTGCCAACACTGGTCTTGTAGAAGCATCTCTTCTCTGGGTCAGAGGTGCCCTTGCTGATCTTCCTGGCTCCAGTCTCTCCTGACAGGGTCATTCTCACAGTCACTAGAGCGATCTGACAGGGTCACTCTCCTCACAGTCACTAGAGCGATCTTTCTGAAACACCATCTGATTGTGTTGCTGCAAGGCTTGACGTCACCACAGAATGAAGTCCAAGGTCCTCTCTGTGGAATTCCCCTGCTCGGTTTCCATCCTATTGCTCCAGCATATTTCCCCCATTTCTCACCCTCCTGTTTAAAATCCTACAATGCCAAGCTGCTCATAGATCCTGGCATGCGCCGCACCCTGCTGTTATTCACATCTGTGCCTTTGCAAATACTGTTCCTTCTGCCTGGGACTCTGTCACTCCCCTTCCCTTCCCTTCCCCCAACTGCCGCTCATTCCTTAAGCCTCTGATCAGCCATCATCTTCTCCCAGGGACTGTCTGACAGCCCCCCACCCCCCCACCCCCCCCGCAAATTGAGTTAATTTCTGC